GAGGCGTCAAGAAGGCGTCTTGGTTCAGGCTTGAGTTGTGAAAGAGCCTTTAGATTTGAATACAGAGCCTCACAGGGGACTGTTAAGGTGTGATAATGTAATGCAACTTGTATAAAACATGTTGAGCCAAGCATTATGTCATCAAACAAGGTTTCAGTTTAATATACAACTTACACTTTACTGTGTCCCATGAATTCAACTGATGGGGCACATTGAAAGTGAAGTGATCTTTTTAAAATCTTTCTACTAAGCTCATCATTCACATTCAGTGGTTTTTAAATAAATGAATATTGGTAAAATTATCAATAACAGGACATTTAAAAAATAACGTAAAGAAAGATGAATAAATAAAGGTCTAGCATTCTTTAAAGGAATGCTTATCAGTGCTTATTGCCAGCCACCTTTCATGCCAGAGTTTAAAATTAAAATCATCTCATGATAAGATAAAGTTACAGTCGTTTTAGTCAAATCTGGGAAAAGACAATATACACAGTCTTATGTAATATTGTGTGATTCTGCAAGATGTTAGAGATCACAGAGTAAATGTTGGTGGTGCCTATCTGCCAGCGCCACACCAAATTTATCTCAGTATCTGTCAATTTAATGTATAGTCATTTTTGTGTTGGTTATAGCTGTGGTGGCCATTTTGAATTGGCAACTATAAATGTAAATCCTGTGAATATTTCCCGTTTTCTTAAAAATATGTCCAGTTGTTCATACAGTCGACACCTTTTAATTGTTGCAGAAGTTTTAGGCAAAACATTTTGCACAATAATTAACATTTGGCGGATGTAATGAGGTTGATGCTCTGCTGCTACCACACTAAATTTGATCTCAAAATTAGATTTCTTCATTTTAGCTAGTTTATTTGAACCTAAAATCCTATTTTGAGTTTAGTTTTTTTTTTTTTTGCTTAAAATGTCACTTTGAAGGGGATAATTATAAGTTTATCTCACGCACGGTTTATAGAACACACAACTGTTCAAACTGTTTTCATAAACTCCATTTGGGCTGAGTGACGAACCTTATTTTCCTTCTCACTTTAACACATTTTTGTCTCATCTTGGCCACCCACAACTCGTTGCCTCTTGGATGTGTATGAGTCCATCAGTGAGGCAGTACCAAAGGTGTAGATCATGGGGGGGGGGGGGGGGGGCTCTGTTGGCATGGAAACGACTGTCTTTGTAAATGGAAGCTCGTCTAATGCTTGGTTAGGGGTTTCATAATGTCTCAAAGTCCAAGAGGACCAGTTTGACTTAAAAATATTCAGAAAAATGCAGTTTAATGTCAAAATAAAGCTTAAATTGTTTTGTTTTGTTGCTTTGCAATTACACAAATGGACTAACCCTCCTGTATGTAACATTTAGCTTGATAAAGATAAAAAAAAATGTGTGGTAAAGATCAGGATTGCTTTATAGCTGGTAGGAAGGGTAGGTACAAAAATGTATAAAAGTATTTACTTTGCTACTATAATCGCAATGACCAAATTATCCAACTTAACTTGTTTGCATGTAGGCCTATCACGATAACAAATTTTGCTGGGCGATTAATTGTCTCAGAAATTATTGCGATAAACGATAATATTGTTTGAAATTTGACAATAATTAGTAATTATGGTAAAATTAAGAAGAAATGTTAGTTAATTTGTTTTAAGTGTATTACCTTTTTTTGACCACCGGATGGCAGTATAAGACTGTTTGAACCGAAGGATGGATAGTGAGGGAGCGAGCAGCGTGTCTCTTTAAGAAAAATGGGAGGGAGGCCCCTTGACGTGACATGGGCTGTTGCTCGGTGTGGTTTGAGTTCTTCAGCATAGCATTTTTCACACAAAGATTTTAATAAAAATCAGTAAACAAGTTCTCAACTTGTTTTTACAGAGAAAAACAACTTTTTACATGAAGGCACGGGTTTCAACCGTGAATTTTGTAGCTTCGACAAGACAAAGGTTTTTTCTCGAGGTCGGCCTGTTAGCTTAGCTCATAGTTTAGCTTCTCAGCTTAGCTGCTTTTAATGATCCAAAAACGCAATTTTGGACGGTTAAAACCAATTTTAAAGAGAAAGGGTGGGGTCAGTGAATAACACCCGAGTTGAGCTTTTTGTCATCCAGTGTCTTCAGGATAGAGAGACATGAAGAAACGATAAAGCCGATAAATGAAAATGAGGTCGATAATTTTCATTTATCATGCGATTAATTGATTTATTGTTTATCTCGACATACCTATTTGTAAGCATATACTGCGTCAGCCTGTAAATACCCAACATTATGAGCCCAAATTGTGATAAATGCAGCAACATAACTCGTTAATAATCAAGTCAAAGATCTATATATATTTTTGTGCATTTAAAAACCTTCTTAGTGAACAACTACTGCACAAGACTAATGTAAAACTAACTACACTTTTAACAACTACAATTATTATACACTGTAGAAAAATGATTAAAGGAAACTGGATATAAAAGCAGGTTATTTTATAATAAAGCAATAAGATGGGGAAGCACTGACCTATTTTTTTTTTTTCAGTATAATGTTTATTTGGTGAAGAAGACGAGGCTTCTGCATCTCTGTCTTTTTCTGTTCCCCTTGTGTTTGCTTTCCTTGTGAACCTCATTAATCTTTCATGTATTTAATTGCTTTTTAAGAACTGGAACTGTAATGTTGTTAAATAAATAATATTGCTGATAAGTTAGCACCCAAAAGGAATTGTTTAGTTACTTCTAATTGGGTTTATGTGAAGCAGGTCTGATGTTCTTTACCTACAGTAAATAGCAGAACAATATCTGTTTGTTGAGCCACTCTTTAGAACCATGCAGTTTCAATATTTATGCATACATTTAGCTGAAAGTAAGTTTTGGTTTGGTAAAGGATTTGAGACGTGATAATATTTTGCCTCTGCATAGTACTGTGTGATATTAAAACTGTCCTAAACTGAGCATGCATCAGGATGTCCTAAACTGAGCAAATCAAAGTTATGTAGATCAGCTCTCTTGCGCAAATTCCCCTTTATGTGGTTGAATTATTTATTGTTTTTGAGATTAAAGGAGGTGCAGAGTGAGCCTTTCGCTACTGCTTCAAACTAAAATGCATCATGCGTAATTTCATCACATTAATCGGTTGAATCGGGCCTCATTTTTGGTTAAAACACATTTCGATTTCTTCAGAAATGCCTCTTTATATGATAAAGTTAATCAAAATACTAACAAAAATTACACATTGAAATGATTTTATGGTTCAGATGGCTTTTTAAAAATAGTTAACAGTAAAAACAACGTTTTTGCCAAAAGTCTTTGGCGTCGGTATTTACATTTTTTTAAATATATTTACCTACAAATGATTTATTGGTTAAATTGTTCTTATTTCATAGCAAATTCATTTTAAGTTTTTTGTTTCATGCTCTTATTCTTTATTGGGGCAGTTGTGGCTGAGTGGTTAGAGTGGCCGACCTCCAGTGGGAGAGCTGGGGGTTTGAGTCCACCAGCAGTCACATGCTGAAGTGTCCCTGGGCAAGACACTGAACCCCTCACTGCCTCTGCTGAGTGTCCCATGTATGAATGTGATCTAAAAGCACTGCTTAGTCTTCATAGAGATCTAACAGTGCTGTATGAATGTGTGTGGAGGAAAATGAGGGCACAGATTGTGTTGTAAAGTGCTTAGAGTATAGGCCTGTTGCAATAAACGATAAATCAATTAATCGCATAATAAATGAAAATTATCAACCTCATTTTCATTTATCGGCTTCATCGTTTCTTCGTGTCTCTCTCTTTCTACTGAAGACACTGGATGAGAAAAGGCTCAACTCCGGTGCTCTTCACTGACCCCTCCTTTTCTCTTTTCTTTTAAAAATCCATTTTAAGCGTCCAAAATTGCGTTTTTGAATCGTTAAAAGCAGCTAAGCTGAGAAGCTAAGCTACGAGCTAAGCTAATAGGCTGACCTAGGGGGAAAAAACAACGTCTCGTCGAAGCTCCAAAATTCACGGTTGAAACCCATGCCTTTGTGTAAAAAAAATTTCTCGGCAAAAAAAAAAAAAAAGCTGAGAACTTGTTTACTGTTTTTTTTATTAAAAGCTTTTGTGTGAAAAATGCTATGCTAAGAGCTCAAACCACACCGAGCGTCCGCCATTTTGAAAACCAAAGAGGGACAGCCCATGTCATGTAAAGGGGCCTCCCTCCCATTTTTCTTAGAGACACGCTGCTCGCTCCCTCACTATCCATCATTCGGTTCAAAAAGTTATATACTGCAATCAGGTGGTCAAAAAAAAAAACTACTACATGCAAAACAAATTAAGAAACATTTCTTCTTAAATTTGACAATAACTACTAATTATTGTCAAATTTCAAACAATATCGTTTACTACAATAATTTCTGAGACAATTAATCGCCCAGCAACATTTATTATCGTGACAGGCCTATTTGAGTATCTTTTGATTAGACAGAAAGGTCCATTTACCATTTATTCAATGTAATAAATACTGAATGTTTAGTTGAACTTGCACAGAGTAAATATGAGGAGTTAAAATTCTGAATGCTTTTGTTTATTATTGTACGACGTAGTCCCACAAACATGACCAGGGAGGCTTTCTGCTGGTTGTTGTGGGGTGGAGGGTGTGGTGTGGTGGGGGGTGTGGACTGGCAGCTGACAGCTGGTTAAAGTGCCTTTAAGTCTATTAGAGAGGATAATCCTTCATAGAGTGAGAGGGAGCAGGTTAAACAGTCTTCCACTTGACTTCTCCAGATCATGCCGTCTTCTAAAACTCACACAAAACTTCAAAGATATTTTCTCACAAAATGAAAAATCACTTTAAACACGACACTTGGAATAGAAAATGTTTGCGCTGTATGGTCTCAAACTGTTAAAAATAAGAAAACTACTGGAAATCCCTTCTAATGGGCACTTTTTCTGAACATTTGTAATAAATATGAGCTGTATTTTTTAAACCAGTGCTCTATTCTTTACCACAAACGGTTTGTTCACCTCTGTTGCTTTCTTTTCATTTTCTCAAGCGTCCTGCTCTCCACATTCACCATTCCTGGCTCAACTGGTGGCGCAGCAACACTTCAAAGGAAAAGGTGTGCAACGCTGCAGATAGCACAGAGGACCCCCTTCCCTCCCCCTCTAAATACGGAGACGTTTTTGAGCCCATTCAGTCTCTTGACTGACAGGTATGGCCCCCTTCTGTCTTGTAGATGTTGTTTTTTCCTCTGCTGATTTTCTTTTTCTCCCTCCTGTTACATTATTCTGCAGAGCCACAATTATAATTGCACAACATATGAGTTTAAAATATGTTGTTTCTGCATCTTTATGCAGATATGAAACTGTGCGTCGTTTATATTTTTGTTTAAGACTCCATGGCAGTGGTTTATTCTTTATTCACCTAACGTATCAAAGCAGCATATTTATTTCCCACTTGTTATTTTTTTTATGTTGCACAGCTTTCATTGTTTTGCAGAAATTATTTTAAAAATATCATGCGCAGTAGTTTAGGCTGTTCAGTGTTATGTCACTGCTTCAGTAAAGAATTGTGAACATCTCCATCGAGACACAGCTTCACAATGAAGAGATGTCCGTGTCTCTTGTGCATTGTAGCGTCTGTTCTGCGTGACTGAAGTGTGAACTAGTTTGCTGTGTCTCAAGTTGCTGATAGTTCCAGCTGCAGCTTGTGTTGTAATTGTGAAGTTCAGCTTTCAGCTGGTTGGTGTAGACTTCAAGAAAGAAACTGCTGAGAAGGTGGGGCCACAGAGGAAATGAGGCTGCATTCCAGCACTGATTTATGAGGTGTCCTTCATCCTCTTTGTACGTTTGGTTAGTTTGCAACTGCTTCAGACCTTTTACTGAATTTAGTGACGTTGGAACTGTCTGCCATTGGCAAATGATGTAGTTACTTTGGTAAATAAATCCAGCAAATTCAAGACAGCCCTGTGTCTTTTTAGATAAATCTGCACTCTGCTTTTCGCTAATGCATGATTTGTAGTTTTCATTCCTCCCTAAAATTGTGTAGAGTACAGAGCTTGCAACAAATAACGAAATACTAACAAACTGCAGAATGAGTCACGTTTTCCAACTGCGTTCTGTAAGATCAGACAGTACCTGTTTATATTAATAATCTGTAAGAAATCCAGCACTGCTGTGTCAGAACATGCCGACCAAACTAAACTCAAAGGTCACACCTGAAAAAGGAATTAAAATCACTGATACTTCTTCAGAAATGAACAAACAAACAAAAAAAAAAAACCAACATATTTTCGATATGAGGTCCTTAAAACACAAGACAAGAAGTCCTGTCACCTTAAACACTAAAAACAAAACAGAAAAACAACAACTCATGATTGTCATCATGTCCTGGATGTGTGACAATCAACACTAATCATTGAATTCAACACAGAAACAGCTGCATATTTGACCACTTTCAGTTCAGTTCACTTTCATAACCTCTATACTTTTCTAGTTTGTTTAATTGTGTTGTGCTTAAGAGGTGTGTGTGTGTGTGTGTGTGTGTGTGTGTGTGGGGGGTTAATGTACTCTTTCAATTCATTATTCACTGCCTGCTCAACAAATAAATACAGGGTTTCCAGCACATCTAGAAATCTGGGAAGACCTGGAAAATGACTTTGGCATTTTCCAGACAGTGAAAACTCAGGTACTAGTGCTGTTCAGAGTTACTAAAAATAGCTTCCTACACAATATGTGACATCAGGAAGTACCTGGATTTTGGGCAAACAGAACTTACGCCCCTTTTGCACCGCCCCTAATAAGCCCCTATTCTGGGCAGCCCGCCACAGAAAGAACCCTTTTGCACCAGCACTTTAGCTAGTATATTTAGCTGATTTGAGGCTGATTCAGGACCTCTTTTCATCCCTGCTTCTCTGGTGGGACCGAGCGAGCTCAGCTGAGTTGAGTCGGGACGAAACATGAATGCAGGACTCTGATTGGTCAGGGGGAGGAGTCACTGGATCTCAGAAACTTTTCACTGAGCCGCCATTTGCAATTAATTTCTCTGGATGCGGAGCAGCGGCTGGATCTATTTTTAAGATTTTAAAAACAATAATGACAACGCCGTAATTAATTCTGAAGTCCAGGCGTTTTGTGTGTTTGGTGACCGACTATAAAATTCGAGCAAGCGGTGTCACCGCGGAGGATCATACGAGCTGCAGAGCCGTTGAAGCCCGTGAGGCCGAACCCCGAGCACCGGCCTCGCCTGCTCACAAAGGCCGGATTCGAGCTCTGGCAGGCGGGAGGACCGGGATGTCCCTCGACTGAGGGTGGAAATGTTTATTTTTATTTTTATTTTTTAACATTTTATGTATAAAACATGTTTTTATAATCAGTGAAGATTAAAAATAAACAAACGGTGTCGGCTTTATCGTGAAATCCTGTTTTCCCTTTGTCTTTATTAAATAATCTGTTTATTAAAGTTAATTCAACTGAAAAATCATAAAAAGATAAAATTATTGGATCTCAGGAATATTTCCTTCAAACATGTTTAAAGAAGAGACACAGCCTTTGGTTCAACATTATTCTAACCCACACATGTACAAATCACAAAACAAGCACTACACTTTAAATTAAAGCTTTAAATCAAAGCTAAACTTTAATTCAAAGCTAAAAATAATTTGTATACAAGAATAAATAATCTGTATACAAGAAACAAAACCACAATGAGTGCAAATACATCAAATGATGAAGAAAAATATAGATTTTAAATATAGATATTCTGATGCATGCTCAATAATCCAGGTAGAAAAATCTAAAAAAGTTAAGTCTGGTCCCCTGGACATTCAAAAACAAACAAACAAAAATGTAGAAACGTTTCTTCTTTCACCTGAAAGACTTCTTCAGTCTGAGGTGCTGTATTCAGCTCAGTCTTATATAAATAGCTATGAGCTGAATACAGCACCTCAGACTGAAGAAGTCTTTC